CCGGGTGAGTGTAGGCCTTGTGTGGTTAAAAAACATTCTTATGCCTTATTTTTTCATTTGAATGCTAAAATTCATTGAAAAGATGAAGTCGTCTGATTTTATGACCATATATGGTCATCGCCCCGCCCACTCCAGCCGCTGATTGGCTAATCCAATTTTTGTTTGGCTCCTCGTAGTTTCCCCAACTGTGTTGGTTCCTTTTGGTCCTGCCTGGTGATAAAGGCTCTTTCTTTACGCAATATCATCAGTATTCCTCTTCTAATCTTGAAGCCCAGATGCTTTACAAATTGGCCATGAATGATACTAAATCATTATATCAACTGAGACGCGCAAATCACGATAATTAGTAACAAATGAGGCCAATTATCCCCACACGACATCAAAAAAATAGACGGGGTCGCCTGTCTATTTTTTTGGGCTGTTTTTCTACATATAATGGCGCAGATAAACACTCCATTAATGCCGCATTTGCCGTTGGTGAAACTCGTTGGCTATTTTTCTGGCTGATATTTTTTCACGCCGGCGGATATTTTTTTCGCCTGGTGAAACTCGTCGGCTGGTTTTTGACAGAAAAATTGCGCCGGGCTCAGGGGCGGATCCAGGAAAACTCCAAGGGGAGGGTCATGAATCGAAGTGGTGCCCCTACCTATACCCAAAATTAAAAACTCAACGGATTTCGTCCACTTCATTTTGGTGGTGCCCCCATTTTCAGTTTTTTATTTTTATTTTTTATTTTTAGTCAGTATCTTACCTCTTAGCCACAACCACATTTACCAATTGTAAGCAAGTATATATGAATGTGCTATGTGTATATATGTTGTGGACGCTGAGCAATGAGTACTTACCAGGAACGTTATCAGGTAAGCAAATCGTTGTCAGTCCGACGAACTTGACCCTGGCGTCTAAAGGGTCTGTCCTTGACACTTCAGGCTTGTCAGGGGCACCAAAGTCCTTCCAGGGACACCACAAACCTGTCAGGGGCACCTACGGCCTTGTAGGGGCGCCACAGGCCCGCCAGGGGCACCACAGGCCTGCCAGGAAGCAGGGGCACCACAGGTCTAGCAAGTATACACGACAGGCCTGTCAGGGGCACAACGGGCCTGTTGGGCCCATGAGCACCCCTAGGGGCAGGGGCACCACAGTCCTTCCAGGGGCACCGCAGGCCTGTGAGGGGCACCAGCGGCCTAGCAGGGGCACCAGTCAACACAGGCCTGCCAGGGGCACCACAGACCTGCCAGGGGCACCAGAGGCCTGCCAGGAGCACCACCGACCTCGCAGGGGTAACTTGGGCCTGTCAGGACCCAGGGGCACCACGGGCCTGTCGAGAGGCACTTCAGGCTTTTCAGGGGCACCATAGTCCTCTCAGGGCGCAGGGGTAGCAGGGGCACCAGAGGCCTGCCAGGGGCACTACAGGCCTAGCAAGGGCACCACTGGTCTATCAGGGGCACCACGAGCCTGTCATAGCCAGGCATCTCAGGCTTGTCAAGGCCCAGCGGCACCACAGGTCTGTGAGGGGCACCAGCGACCTAGCAGGGGCACCAGTCAACACAGGTCTGCCAGGGGCGCCACAGACCTGCCAGGGGCACCACAGACCTGCCAGGGGCACCAGAGGCCTGCCAGGGGCACCACCGGCCTCGCAGGGGCACCTTGGGCCTGTCAGGGGCACGACGGGCCTGCCGAGGGGCACTTCAGACTTTTCAGGGGCACCAGTCCTCTCCGGGCGCAGGGGCACCAGAGGCCTGCCAGGGGCACCAGCGGCCTAGCAAGGGCACCAGAGGCCTGCCAGGGGCACCACAGGCCTAACAAGGGCACCACGGGCCTGTCAGGGGCACCTCAGGCTTGTCAGGGCCCAGGGACACCACAGTCCTTCCAAGGGCACCGCAAGCCTGTCAGGGGCACCAGAGGCCTGCCAGGGGCACCACAGGCCTAGCAAGGGCACCTCTGGCCTGTCAGGGGCACCTCAGGCTTGTCAGGGCCCAGGGGCACCACAGTCCTTCCAGGGGCATTACAAGCCTGTCAGGGGCACCAGAGGCCTAGCAAGGGCACCACAGGCCTGCCATGGACACCACAGGCCTGCCAGGGGCACCACCGGCCTTGCAGGGGCGCCTCAGGCCTGTCAGGGGCACCACGTGCCTGCCGGGGACACTTCAGGCTTGTCAGGGGCGTTACAGTCCTGTCAGGGCCCAGGGGCACCAGGCCCGTGGTGTCCCTGCTAGGCCTGTGGTGCCCCTGGCGGTCCTGTGGTGCCCCTGTCAGGACTGTGATACCCCTGATAGGCCGGTGGTGCCCCTGGAAGGTCTTTGGGCCCCCGGGCCTCAAGGGGGGGGCCATGACCCATGTGACCCCCCCCCCTGGATCCGCCCCTGGCCGGGCTGCTATTTTTCTGTTGGTAAAACTGGCCTCTGATCGCCCAAATGCCGGTGGCTGCGATAATTTCTCTGTTTCTGAAGAATTTTCGGGACCCATGCTCTTTTCATACTGGATCGCGTGTGCCTTACAGAAACTGAAAAGTTCTTCCCATATCAAAATATAGAAAATAATCTTTTGTTATAAAAAGGTTTTATTTTCTTTGCTGATTATTTTGAACATAAAAAAATCATAAATCCGTTGCAAAAAAAATAATTTCGTGAAAGTGAACTATTTCCTTTAACCCGCGCCCTGCTGGGGGTCCTGGATTTCCACGCCCTGCTGGGGGGGGGGGGGGTGTTTGAACACCCCCCTTGTAACTCGGCTCCTGGGCCACGTGGCGATACGCGGAAGGCGGCGTTCGAAAGAGCGTAAAAAATAATGACGAAATCACTTCGGTCAATTTTTTGGTCAGGTCAAAGGTCAGGTCACCAGAGGTCATTGAAGGCAAAATTTCGCCGATTTCCAGGTCGAATGTCGAAAATTTCCAAGAAGCCAACGCATAACTCGGGAACCAATAGAGCTACAGCGCCGCGGAAAAGCGCATTCGATAGCCCTATTAACGCCCTTTCTGAGTAATTCTCTCAGATTTGACCTAACGTCAACGGTTTTGCCTGCAGGGGGCAAAAACTGCAAAAATAGCCGATTTTTTTGAAAACAGTTTTTCTGCAATAACTTTTGACCCAAGCCTTGTACGAGCTTACTTTTACCGGCATCGTGTTCCTCTCGTCAAGACGCATCGAATGAACTATAACTTGACCTTGAAAGGTCAACTTGAAAATTTGACCTCAGGTCAAGGTCATGACCTGACCGGAAAGGGTCATGTTGCATATCAGTCGATCCGTATCGTCGAGCTGAACACATCTAAGGCGTTTTCATCGCTCTAGCATGCCTCTATCAAAAGTTATTTGCGAAAAACTGTTAGATACCATTCGTGACCTAAGATGACCTCAGGGCATAAACAAGGGTCACGGACACCATTTTTAAGTTCAGTGTGTCTAAATCACTTGTAATTCGGTGTTTGGGAGTGTTTATAATGTCTTTCATCCAAAAGAGGCGCATTTCAATTTTCTCCCATTGACTTATAATGGGGAGGTCGCAAAATTGACCTGACCTTAGGTCATCGATATCAAAATTCTGAGATATACATTTTGTACATGCTATTGCTCTTAGCAATCGCTGAAAGTTTCAAAGCGATCGGTCACTCGGTGTAGCTATGACAGACATTGAAAGTTTTTATGAGGTGAGGTCACTTCAAGTGACCTGGTGACCTGACCTTGAATGATCTTGGTCTGAAATTTTCACAACATGTGTAGAATTGATGTATGATAAGGTGTACCAAAAACGGCGGCGCTCCGCGCCGCCGTTTTTGAGATATTCGCGAAAAACCACAAGGGGGGTGTTCAAACACCCCCCCCAGCAGGGCGCGGGTTAAAGCGGTTTCACGGCCCGTCTACAGTGGGTTCAGCGTCGTGAGCGAAAACTTTTTCGTTTCGTGAGCGTCGTGAGCGTATCTGGAGCCAGTATGAGGAGAGGCGGAATAGATGAATTCCTTTGGTAAGTAAACATGACTCGTTCTTCATTTGTGGGAGACAAAGTATTTTAGCATGTGACAGTGTGCCGTAACGGTAGTGAGGTATTTTGTTCTGTTGTTGCCGTTACCACCCATAGTTGATCTTTTTAAAACATCGCGTATATCTGCACACATTTTATTGTCTTTAATCAGATTCCCAAACAAGGCTGTACGATAAACCCTGTATATACAACATTTGGCAATGGGTAGAAAAAGACGGCTCTAGCTCACATTCTAATGCAACAAAAGATCATAGGGGTTAGTGGAACTCCCCAGCTTCTCCGGAACATCCCACAACAAACAGTTGCACCGTCATACGTTGTCTGACGAGACAACTACAAGTAACGCCATCCACCACCAGCTAATCACCAGCTGCTCATTACCCTCACCTTGCCGCGCCCGCCTAGGCGGCTCACGTAGCCCTGTCGCATCCGCTAGGTTACGGCAACGCGCTCTATGCAGGCACATTTCGATGGGTTGGGATTGGGTGGTAATGTGGCACTTAACGACGATTTACAGTGACAACGTGAAAGATATAGGTTCTATCTAGAATATAAGATAGACAGACGAGATCGATAATCAATTTCTGCTAACAGAAAACGATTTAAAAACGAGTAGCAAGTAACAGATAACGGTAGGTACAGCCCTCTGCAAACTGCGTGGTAGGCATTCTTTTTTCGACAAAAATGGGAATAACGCGAATACTATGCTATCGGTCATTCGGAAATCGTAACAACAAGACGCGCTAGACCCCGCCCCTTAGATTGGCATCATCACCGTATCCATTTTTCATCTAGTTCGGCAACTAAACCCAAAAGTTTATATTTGCCCCCAAAACAAACTTTTGCATTTTGTTGCCACACAAGGCGTATACTTTGTTTATTGATAGACCTAATCGAATGATTGGAGCATGGCGCATCTATTTGCAGTGAGTTCCGACCGACTGATAACATAACCTTTGAGTTATTATCGGTTTTGTCGAAAAAAGAATACCTACCACGCAGTCTGCAGAGGGCTGTACGTACACACAAGGTATTTTTAAGTCAGGCTAACGACAGGCGGTTTCGTACAATATCACTGCACCATATCACGGTCAGGAAGTGTTAGCGAGAAACAGTCGAGGGCACAGCCTGCAGTTACGCAACGGTTGTTTCTATTGAATAACAAACTCCCAAAATTCGCGGCACGACACAACTCACACAGCTAACAATTAACACAGAGTGCTCACAACGCACAGACGGGTGCGAGTTACGGCACAGACCTGTTGGACGGGTTCCCCGGTCCTTTACAAATGGCGGGTGCCCTCATCGGGCAGGGTCGCCTCACAGAGTGGGTCACAGAGTGGGACCCGTCGGCCGTCTCACAGGTGGTGCGTGCCGCCGTCGGCCGGCGGAGGCAGACGCAGACCGTCCGCCAGCTCGGGCGCCGCCCTGTCCAGCACCGCCATCAGCAGGGCCGCCTCTCGGCGCCGGCGCGAACACACCACAAACCGCGTCACACTGCCGACGCACTGTCGCGCCAGGAACGCCGCCGTGGCGCCCAGCCGCTGGTCGAGCTCGGCGCGTGCCTCGGCGCCCCCGTCCTCCATGGGCGCCTCGGCCGGCTCCTCAGCAGCTGGCTCGGCGTCACTCGGCAAGTCCTCGTCCCCAGAGACGCGCTGCGCCGCCTCGCAGAAACGCAGGAGCGAGGCCAGAGTGTCGTCACACCAGGCGAGCCGCAGCGCCGGAGCCGCCAGCCACAGCAGACAGCAGGCCAGGCGCGGGTCGGCGCTGGCGGCGGCGGCCCGGCGCGCCTCGCATACGCCGCGCACCAGTCGCGGCACGGGCGCCACCCACGAGTCTGCGGGCAGAGCGCGCACACGGCCACCGCCGCCCGTCAGAGGCCAGTCAGTCGGAGCGCGAGGGACACGCGGGGGTTGTTGTTGTTGTTTATTGGGGCTTTAGGGCGCGCCGACTGCGAAGGTCATTTTGCGCCCATAACGTCACACTAATAAAACAAGTGTTTCAAAACAAGAGACCTTCTATATACCAAGGCTATTGTTGTTGTTTGTTTGTTTGTTGATTGAGGCTTTAGGGCGCGCCGACTGCTAAGGTCATTTTGCGCCCATAACGTCGTACTAATAAAACAAGTGTGCCACAAGAAAGAACCTTCTAGATACTAAGACTAGAAAGTAAGACTCGATATAAAATAGCAAGGTAAGATAAAACAGCGCAAAGGTGTCGTCCTAGACAACTGACTAGATGAAAGGACTAGAGAGGGCTAGTTGGATTGGGGTCAGGTCGAGTATATCACTTGGAAGTTGATCGAACGGATAAAAGAAAAGATGTTGCCGGATAAAACCCAGGGTGACTCGTCACCCAGTAAGCGGCGGATAGTGGTACCCGGAGCGATGCGCCCGAGGTAGCGTGTCCGGTTCGGTTCAGCGAGAGGACAAGATAAAAGCACGTGAGAGACAGTGAGAGGCACGGTACACCTGCGACAGGTGGGCTGCTCTTCTCCGCGGAGGAGATGACCATGCGTGGCATACGTATGGCCGATGCGCAGCCTACATAAGACGACTTCGTTATGTCTGTTACTTTGCATGGATGACGACCAAGGCTCGAGAGTTGGCTTGATATCTCTCAGCTTACTGCTCGCGCGCGAGTCCCACTCTGCCTGCCACTGCGAGAGCATGGAAGATCGTACGACGGGATAGTAATCCCGGGCAGGCAGAGGAAATCGCCGAGTGTAGGGCGCTGCGGCAGCGCGTCTCGCGGCGGCGTCAGCAAGCTCGTTGCCTTGGATTCCAACATGACTGGGAATCCAGCAAAACCGGATAGTTTTTCCGGACTGTTCCACCGAAGTTAGCCGAGTTAAAATGTCCTGAATGATCGGGTCGTCAGGATTAAACCGTCGTAAAGCCAACAGACTGCTTAGTGAGTCTGATAAAATCAAATAGAAAAAACCGTCGGACACCTCAATAAAACACAGAGCCTTTTCGATGGCGACTAGCTCTGAGGAAAACACCGAGGCGCTGGGTGGGAGGGAAAACGAGCGGGTGTCCCGACCAGCGACAAAAGAGCAACCCGCTCCCTCGGATGTTTTTGAGCCGTCTGTGTAGACTGAAATAAAACCATCATACGAGGCTATATGCTCCAAGGCTCTGGTTTGTGCTTCATAGGACAGCAGGCTATCCTTTTTTACTTCGGAAAGCGAGAGGTCTACCTGCGGCGGGGCGTTTCTCCAGGGTGGAGAAGGCGTTCCCCAGATACGCCGAACGCCGCGCAAGGCTATATTCGATGTAGAGAATAAACCTCTCATGCGTGCTCCGAATGGATGACTCGTCCCATTACCAGATGAAGCAATGTGACGCGAAAAGACGTACGGGTACGTCGGATGCGTCGGGAATTGACGTAGTTTAAGAGCATAACGCATCCCCAGCGTCTGACGGCGGAGAGAAAGTGGCGGCTCGTGCGCCTCAGCAAGAATGCTGCTCCTAGGCGAGGTGCGGAATGCTCCGGTGGCTATTCGGAGTGCTGCATGATGGACTGTATCCAGGACCTTCTTGCTGGATTCACTCGCTGAATCATAGACAAAGGAAGCGTAATCCAGCTTCGATCGTATAATCGATCGATAGAGAAGAAGAAGGGTCCTGCGGTCCGCACCATAAGATGTGCGGGCGACACATTTTAAAACGTTCAGGGATTTAAAACATCGTTCCCGAAGCGTTCTAAAATGTTCTCTATACGTCAAACGACTGTCAAAAAAGATTCCAAGAAACTTCGCCACCGGCCGAGTAGGAATCACCTGTCCATGGAGCTTGATTCCCAAGGTTAAGTCGTCACAGCGGCGGCGGCAAAAGTGCATAGCGACGGTCTTCGTTGTTGAAAAACGAAGGCCGTTGTCGTCGCTCCACCTCTCCAGACGGGTTACAGCGAGCTGCAACTGTCTGGCAACGTGACGGGCGGTCGTAGCTGAAAACCAGATCGCGAAATCATCGACAAATAGTGATTTGCCGATAGATGGTGCGAGATTGTCGCCAATGTCATTGATCGCCACAGCGAACAGCGCCACACTGAGCACTCCGCCCTGAGGAACTCCGTTCTCCTGAACAAAACTGCTCGAAAGACGGCTGCCAACACGGACTTTGAACCGACGACCCGATAAAAAGTTCTTGATAAAGAGACCCATTCGGCCACGTATGCCGTACTTATGTACTTTGGAAAGTATTCTGTGTCGTAACACGGTATCATAGGCCGCCTCAATATCAAAGAACAGTGCTCCAAGGTGCTTCTTTTCAGTAAAACAGGTGCGTATCTCGGTGTCAAGGGCTAAGATGTGGTCCACAGGGCTGCGGTGTTTTCTAAAACCGCACTGGGCGTTTGTAAAAACACCGTGATGTTCCAGAAACCAGCTAAGACGCACATTGACCATCTTCTCCATCAGCTTTGATAGCGATGATGTGAGAGAGATGGGCCGATAATGGAGAGGGTCATGTCCCGACTTGCCAGCCTTCAAGATAGGAATGATAATGGCTTCCCGCCAGGTCTCAGGGAAGGTGCCAGTCTCCCAAAGCGAATTAAAGGTTGCTAGCAGCGCCTCGAGGGCAACTGCGGGGAGATGACGGAGCATGTCGTTGTGGACAGCATCCGGACCTTCTGAGACGCTGCGCAACGAGCTGATGGCAGACGTAAGCTCAACCATGGTGAAAGGCTCATTGTACACGAAATTTTCAGCTGTGCTGAAGTCCACGGCGGCTGGTGCAGGTCGTGAGGACTCTCCTCGGCAGCGCTGATAGAGTGCACGGCCTATCGTCTCTGCGACGTCTGAAGGGTGAGATATGTCCGTGTTGTTCACTCTTAAAACCGGAAGCGGAACAGAGCTGAACCGGCCTTCAATGCGCTTCATGCGTGCCCATATCTGGGTCGTAGGAGTAAAACGGTTTAAGGAACTTACGTAAGTGCGCCATGAAACAGCCTTTGCCTCTTTTAAAACGCGTCGGGCAAAAGCCCGCGCTTTCTTAAAAGCGATGAGGTTCTCAGTGGTGCCACTCCGGTCAAACTTTCTAAAAGCGCGTTTCCTGGCACGAATCGCGTCTCCGCATTCCTTGGTCCACCACGGAACAGGAGGACGACGAGGCTGGCTCGACGTCTTGGGTATGCACCCGTTTGCGGAATCAATGAGTAGGGACGTAAACTCCTCTGTGGATATCGCAGAGGTGTCGGCTCTGGATAGAACAGAGGCCTCTACGGCGGTCTGGAAATCGCCCCAGTCGGCCTTCCGAAGATTCCACCTGGGTGGACGGCTGCCTACTACTGGGGACTCCTGGTGCTCCAGCCACACCGGGAAATGGTCGCTCCCGAGTGGGTCGTCATGGACGAACCAGTTAAAAAGCTGAGCTAGCTGCGGGCTGGCTAAGCTCAGGTCCAGAGCCGATGTTTGACCGGAGGGTGTTGTAAAATGGGTGCGCTGTCCTGTATTTAAAATACAGAGCGCCTCATCGCGGATAAAAGATTCTAAAAGTCGACCACGAGTGCCAGTCGTGTCGCAACCCCACGCCAGGCTATGGGCGTTAAAATCGCCGACTAGCAGGACCGGAGGTGGAAGTTCATCGACAAGTCGATGTAGCTCAACCACCGGGAGCGCTCTACCTGGTGGTAGGTATAAAGAGCACACCGTCAGTTCCCGGTGGTTGAGATCAACTCTGGCGGCCACCGCCTGCAGGGGGGTCTGCAGCGGCACCTGGCGCGCAGGTACGCTGTGGTGAACCGCCAGAAGCACACCTCCATGGGCAATGGTAGGGGTGTCCAGGTCTCTTCTAAAAACAGAGTAGCCCTTGATGGCAAAGGTAACGTTTGGCGCTAGCTTGGTCTCCTGGAGACCTAAAACAAGGGGTGTGCGCCAACGGATAAGAGACTGTAGGTCCTGGTAGTTGGCCCGGAGGCCTCTACAGTTCCACTGTAGAATAAAAGGCGTGGTTAAAAAGGCGCAAAAAGGGCGCGTATAACATGAGGCAAAGGCGCACGCAGATACCTGACTGGCCACAAAAAAGGTAAAAAACACCGAGAGAAACGCACCTGGTAAAAAAGCGCAATAGCGCGAAAAAGATAAAAGGATAAAAGAGGAAATGACTAGAGTAAATGACTAGACTAAGTCCTCTTTTTCCGAAGAGGCGCTCCCCCCGTAGCGGATACGGGGGTGCCCCGAGCCCTCTCGGTGGAGTCTGCCTTCTGCGGAGGCAGATCGGGCGTGACTCAAGCCCTGCTGGGGCTTTTTCGCCCGAGGAGCGTCACCCTCCGAGGGCGACCAGCTCGGGGGCGTCTGCCGTTTGGCAAGGCGCCCCGGAGCCGCAGGGGGCTGAGGCTGCCCCGACGGGGATGTCGGGGCGGCGGCCTGTGTCCTTGACACAGGTGTGTCTGGCAGCGGCGGCGGAGGCCGCCGCTGCTGCGAGAGCGAAGGAGGGGGCGGGGGACCCATGATGGGCCGAGTCCCCGCCTGAGGGGTCTCCGGGGTGTCAGCGGCGACAGCCGCATTGGCACTCCCGGAGGCGGAGGCGGCAACAGAGGCCTCCTTAGCCTCGATGGCCTTTTGAACGAGGCGAGCCCTCCTCGCCTCTCGTGCCCTCCTCTCCTCCTCTCCCCGCCGCAGAGCCTCCTGCACCGCCGTGGGCGGTCGGGGGCGGGGCGGGGTGGATGGCGCCTTACCCTGCGCCGGGGGGCGCCGACCACCCTGTCGGCGCTGGACGACGGTCCAATCGTCTCCTTCACCGCCCGCAGCTGGAGCGGGACTGGGTGGACCCCACACTGACTCTTGAGCAGTCTGTTCTGTGTCACTCGGCGGCGCACCAGGCGCCGAAGAGT